CTGATTGGTCAATAAAGCCTGTTCTGTTGTACCAGTCTTTTACCTATTAGGGCTCGGGTATCCTACAGTGGCGTCGGATTTGGGCGCAGACATGTTGGACCACCTAGCCGCAGCCAATCCCGTGTCTCTCTGCGATCCAGTGGCATGCGGGAAAGGAAGGCAGCCAACCAGAGAAGGACATGGATGAGACGCACTATATAATAATCGACGTGGCCAGCGTGGTGGACTCCAATGGAAGGCGCCTGACGTGTAGCTCTGGCTTCTGATTGGTCAATAAAGCCTGTTCTGTTGTACCGGTCTTTTTCCTATTAGGGCTCGGGTATTCTACAGTGGCGTCGGATCATTGCGCAGACATTTTATACCACCTGGCCTCAGCCAATCCTGTGTCCCTCTGCGTTCCAATGGCGTGCGAGGAAGATAAGCAGCCAACCAGAGAAGGACACAACTGAGGTGCAGTATATAATGAGCGGCGTGGCCAGCGAAGTGGACTCGGATGGAAGGCGCCTGACGCGTGGCTCTGGCTTGTGATTGGTCAATAAAGCCTGTTCTGTTGTACCGGTCTTCTTCCTCTTATTTCTCGGGTATACTACATTGGTGGCAGCGGATGCGTTCGAATAACGCAAATCAAACCCCAACCCTTTCTCTTCTATGGTTAACGGAGGCAAAGACCTTTAAATGCCATCTGAATTTGTCATGGCGGTCGTCCGATGTCCAATAAACTGGATCCATAGACATTGCCTGTGATTAGGACTGCCGCATCTAAATAGGAATTGGCAACTTAGCAAAAACGACGTGGACAGTGAACGCCAGCTGGACTGCATCTACGAATGGACCTACGATGGATGAGGAGTCCTACCTTCAAGTCTACAAGAGCGAAGTCCCTCGTCAACTATTCGCATGGGCCGCTATCCTGCCAGATGTGGGGTGCGCGGAGTGTCGAACTGGATATTTTACCAACACTGGATATCAATAGCGGTGGAAGGAACCAAGCCAGAGACTGAGGACAGCTTTACTCTTTGGGGGGACGCAGTGTGGCGACGGATTAGGGCGCAGACATATTGGACTACGTTGGCCTCAGTCGATCCTGTATCCCTCTGTGTTCCAATGGCGTGCGAGGAAGTTAAGCAGCCAACCTGAAAAGGACACGACTGAGGTGCAGTATATAATGAGCAGCGTGGCCAGCGTGGAGGACTCGGATGGAAGGCGCCTGACGTGTGGCTCCGGTTCGTGATTGGTCAATAAAGCCTGTTCTGTTGTACTAGTCTTTTTCTCATTAGGGCTCGGGTATTCTACACCACGTCTGTTCACAGAATAACGACTTATGTCTGAATTAGCACATTAACTTAACAATAAAACGCACAAATTCCATGTAATCATGTACAATGCACATCGGAAAATATTAACTGGTGGCGCATATATTCGGTTCCAAATAACCGGGGCTCATGAAATCTAAACAGTTCCGGTTGGTGCTCTGTCATGACGCCTGGTTGGTAACTTTGTAAGGTGTTTAAAGAGGCTGCGCAGTGCCAATAACCTTTTTTTAAAGTGGACTTCGCTCTAATACGAGCAAATTACTTTCGGCCAGAGAAAATGAATTGTGACTGTGACATCAGTCGTGGTGAAACAAACCGTCAGCCATAGGCCGTGGTCCCTTGACTAGGAAGTCAACTGCGAAACTTCCCAACCATGTAAAAAGAGTTTAACCCACATTAAAAGTCTGCAAGGCAACTTGTCGGTCTGTTGCTTGGCACAACATGTTTTTTGCTCTTAATCACATGTTAACTTATTACGCACGCGTCCGATTCGGTGTCCACATCAGAGCCTTCTGCATTTGAAGGACATAACATGATATTGCGTTCACATCGGCCACTATTGCCCAACGTATTCAGGCCTCCACAGTGTGGACAGATATTGGAATAACCGCATACACAAGATTATGCGAGTTAACCGAAAATAGAGTAGAATAATTATACTAATTCTTAACGCTTTATCAACAACAAATCCGGTAATTCAATTGATGTTATAATATCGATTTAGTTATGCCTCAGTTACTGCCATAATATTTCCGTGGATATTTATGCTTGCACTGACAGGGCGTTTACAGCTTTTTTCACAATGTACACAGAATATTCGAATTAGTAAAGGTTGCCGAGTGTGGTCCCGTTTTTTCCAAACCCATTGCAAACAAACGACTCACAGGCGGTCGCATTGTCCTGCTGGTTGACCTCAACACATTCTGCTTGAGATTAACCCAACGAAGCAACCTTGCTATTAATCAATTTAGGTACAGCTGGATTAAACCAATTGCAGTTAGGGACGCTTCATGTTGATTCGTTTGCGTTTAAATCGTACAAGATCGCTTTATGAGTGTAGGTACAACCTGCAGACACGCATCCTGCACCACCTACCCATCAAACGTGACGTATCTTCATAAAACAATGCTTTGTTCAATGAGCTCCACACAAGATTGCCTTTCAACAGACTACCAAACCGCACTAAGTTAAATGGCCGTGGATTCTGAAGGTCAGTTCATTTAGGGAGTTATCCTGCGAGTGTACGTCCGAGAGTGTCTCAGCACAGCGGCTGTCTTGAGATTGACAAACCCTTGTAGTGAAATGCAATGCTGATTAGTCTGAACAATCTGTGTTTTCAGCCTTCAGCTTCCTGTTATATTGGCCCTAATTTGAGGATCAAACACACCATTTAGAAGCGAGACTAGCGTGTTTAAAACCACATCTATATGGAACCAAATGGGCGAAGAATTCTGAAATTCCCAGTAGAACTGACTGGTGCTGCTCGAGTCTGCTTCTCTGTTTGTGCTTGCATTTTGTGTCGATTTTAACCACACCCCACACTGACAAATTTCATCATTGACAAATAAGCGGTAGTTTAATGAGCTGTCCTGCTGTCCAATGAAACTGCTTATGTAATTCAGTAAGTACATTGGAATCGGCAGTGACACTGTTACCTCGAATCCCGGAAATTAACTTGGAGAGGTATGATTCTTTAGTTTCTACAGTCATGCTGTCCCCGGATTGAAGCCTACCTCTTACTTGTCACTCAAAAGAACCTCGTCTTGTGTTTGCAGCACTTTTTATGCATCTAACTTTGGGTGACACGTTGCAGATTTGGTGATTCCTGTCTGTCTGTCGATTCCGATGCTAAGCAGTATTTATGTAAGGCCCCAGCGGACACGATGGTAGCCACAACACACATAGGGATCACAGTTTATCCCGCTAGACGCATTAAAATTCCCATGCCACACAACGTGAATCCTACTGTCTGTCAGATGTGTTTTACACTGCGAAAACACTACAGCCATTTTCAGCGAGCACATGGGCATGACCTTCCGCCGGAATAGGGTCAGTCACAAACGACAGTGGATTCAATTGCCTTACTTCATTTTCGATTATGAGGCACCCATGGCAAATGAGGCTTGCGATTGCTTGAAAAATGCACGAGTGTTCTTGTAAACAGCCGTAATGTCCAACAAACACATCATCACATGGAAGCGGATCCAGTTCATCATGCCGCTGGTGGAACAATTAGCACTACGGCAACATGGCGCGGACGTGGAAATATCAATACAGTCAAGGTCATTCAGGTGGTAATTGGCCAATCTGTGAACGATCAATGAGTAAGTGTGCTTACACGACAGTTTCATCTCAAACGAAATGCGCGAAGTGTAGAAGCCGCGAATACTCAACGTACTTGAGCGCCACTAGCAGACCAAAGCATGGCTCACTCTCTGTCTTCGTTGGTCAGAAAACAGCGTCCACGTGCCTGCCACACGGCAAAAATAAAACGCGTTTTTGGTTAGAAAGCAAATTGCATGACATTCACGTCGCTTCATGAGATGCAAACGAAATTTGTGAAAAAAAATCGAATTTACAAGTCGAGTTACTTGATACTCACGCAGGCCTCGTGAGAACACTTTTAAGTTTTCTAGAACACCAAGTTGATTCTTCTTACCATCGAGATGTTTGCTTTCTAAACAGACATGGTACTTATGCGTCTTCAGTAGAATTAGAACGCCTTGTGTAACCTAACTCCGAAATATTTCTTATTCATTTAGAAGTTGATAGAAACAGAGAACAGAAAGGAAATGGTTCAGCGGAATGTATTGTGATAATTATCCGTCGTAGACCCAGTAGCATCCTGTTGAGACTGAAATCGATTGCCGCGAGCGCCAATCACACACCGCCTGCTCATGGTGGCGGTCGTCTATCAGCTTATTCATTATTGCATTGTAGACGGCAACTCGACCAGGCTAAGCGTAAGCGGAGCATTGAAAGTAACACTTGTCGGATTTTAAGCAGTTAAAATTTTGGTTCAGATCACACTTGTGATTTTGTGCATGTGGTTAATTCTACATTTGCCGATTTTTCAATCTCAATTTGTCGAATCTACCATCGGATCTACAAGAGAAGCTTTCTCCTAGGCGATCCGCTAATATTGACGAATTGAACTGCACTACCCCGAGTACTCTGCAGCAGTCAAATCACCAAGCAACTGCTTCCACACAATTCTTGGCACCGTTTGAACTGCACTGCCTCTGATGCTAAGAGGTATTAAAGTAATATACGTTGTGGTCTTCACTGAGTACAACGTGTGTGTAGCAAATTTGTGCTGTTTTCGCATTGCCAAACAGGCAGACTGGCTGCATCTCTGTTGGGTTTGATAAGGTGCAACTAATGCGTGGCATTCTGTTAGCTTGTCGTAACACCTCCATCGGATATCTGAAGTTGACGAAATTGGTTTCACCACAAAACGCAACATTCCCCATCACGTATGCCGCTGCAATGAGGTAAGTTTTGCAAACCCACCGTGTGGAGCCTACCTACACACAATTACGATTCTTGCATTTAACTGCTTCTAAGAGCCTTCAAACAGAGACAAGGCAGGCAGGTGTGGGGGTGTTGAGGGCGCCGTCATGTTGTCTTGAACCACGCCGGGGCCACTGCCTCAATCTACGCCGATAACACTACCCCGAGCACACGCTAAGGTGAAGAAGCCCGCAGAGGACGCTGCACAACCGTTTACCAAACAGCTCAACCCCGTCGTGTTGTGCTGACGGATACAGTTGAGTGGTGAATGAGCAGGCGGTCTCACGTGACTGACCGGCACGCCGTGAAAAGGGGGACGTGTGTAGGAGGCTGTGACCACTGGGTTATTGGACGTGAATCAACAGGATCCCCTACAAGCGTGTTTATCTAGCGGTCGGCAGTGGTAACCAATCGAATATTGGGGTGAGTCACCGATGTCGACTAATTCGTATACAAAATTTTCACACGGAATTACGCTGACGGCCCACCGCTGCCTTGGCGTGTTAAATGAGACGTTGAACGCTAAAAATTAATCCAACAGATAGTGTTTGTCATCACGGCGTTGTCAGTCCATCTCAACTGTGCAAATGCTAATTGTGGATTATGAAACAAAGTCAAGCTAACCGATCTCGCGTGGTAAACACCGGACAGGTGCTACGATTCAGTGAACTGCTAGCGAACGCGTGTGAGTAAAAGCTTTTCCACGAGTTTATCGAAGGCCGCTGATTGCGGAATAAGTTTGACGGTTGATATTCACTCACTGACTCTGCTTCAAAACGACACTTGGTTGGTCTGATGCACAAAAATCTCCCCTGGTCGATGTCACCTGTGTTGCCTCTCTTCTCAGGATGTGTGAGGGCTGTAGGGCAGGGCACTACATGTTGCCCCGTCAAATGAAACCACTGTGACTTGCAACAACCCTCTTATCCGTTACCGATGACTGACCCTAGTGCTGTACGCTATCGTTCAAAAAATCGCATTTTCGCCAGCTTTCCGTCCTGCATCTCTGCTGGGGTTTTACGATACCCCAAGATTGCTCATCAGTGGTTTTTAGCACTATTTACACTGATTCCTTAGCTCCGACCTTGTTCTCGCATCAGCGTGAGAAAATCGTTTCTAGCGTCAACAAGGGATTTGGTACCGTTATTTGAGTGGTTTCCTCTTTGTTACGGGCAAACGTAAGTCTCCAACTCAAATTGAGGCTACATTTATAGCCTAAAAATAGCCTTCTAGTCCTCCAAGTTCTCACCTGTTGTTTCTCAACTACGACCAGATGCTGTCACAGACGATATTGACTCGATTGAAAGACTGTCACTTCAAGACCCCTACGACGAGTTGGAAGATGCTGTTCATGCGCGGACAAACAGCTCGAACGTGGCGCGTCTTCGACACCTCCTTTCTGCTCTTGCACTAGGCGACGGGCCTCCATTCCAGCTTCTCTGGCATATGAGCCATCTGGCTGGAGGGTTCAATGTTGATGACTCAATCCCGCGCCAATTACGGCCTCGATGCCTCCCAGTTAGCATAACGTCGATTCACAGTTATGACACAATATTAGAAACACTAGCCGAACTAATCGACGAATGGATCTCTCAAGAAACTCGAAATGAAGCCGTCGTCTCTGGCCACCTCGGCTTAGTCAGCACAATCAAGTCTGAATGGACGCAGTGACGCAATCAACGCACAAATATAATTCCACTACTCCCTTGTATTGTTTATGGAATGCTGAATCTGCATGATCCTAACCACAATGTCGTGAAGCAATGTTGTGTTATTTAACTGCCCAGTTTTCAACGGATTGCCTTAATTCTGCTAACAATGCATCACTTCAACACCAGTCTACATGAGATAATGGTAACATGCATAGTTGGAGCTAAAAGTCCATCCAGTCCATGGTGGCAATTACTACCACAATTGACGACTGGTGGTTGAGAGCACACGATGTGGTGCCAGTCAATCAATCAATCGCAGGGTGTGTTGGGCGTGCCTGCTTGTGATCCACCTCAAGTGGCACAGCACTCACTCTAGTGTTCTTTTCCGCTAATCAGTTGTCTGTGCCAGACGAAACGCATGGTCTGGTCTACACCCTAGTGAGTCAGTTTAGCTGCAAACCAGCAAGGCTTAGCAAGTGGCAGTCAATTAACTGCCACTGAGGTCTAAATGCGATGTCAAAATATGTCGTATTTGAATTCCACAAGCAATAATAACACTGTTTCTCACACTCCTATGCTATTTGCTAGTTCGTTTTAGAACATATTTTGTGCCGTTTTTGTCCGAAATAATAACACGACGGCAGTAGCAGGACGTTGGAATTCGGGCTGCGACTCACACATGAAGCATCGCAAGCCATACCTACAGTTTGGCATTGGTATACAAATTTGACGTCTTTAAATGCTAGTCGAACTAGCTGTGAGTTGACAGTTGATTGGTTATCCACTTTACAAGACACATCTGTAGAAATGTAACACACAGACGTGTTAGCCGGGACGCGAAAATTCACCCTTGGCAATACAAGTTCTGGTGGTATTTCGAGGTGACGGTAGTAGCCAGGTCTGAATAAACACAACTGAGATAATTGTAGATTCATGCAAGCAGTCAAGTTATTGTTTTAATTAGCATCTGCAGTTTCGTTTACCTTTGACTAATTATGGTCTCGCAAATTCATGAGTTGTTGATGTTGGAGCTCCAGGATTCTCCCAAGACGGCTCATCGCCGTTTTCCGTCATTGTTTACACTGATACCCTAACCCCGTCACCAACGCCTTCCCTCTGACACCCACATCTGTGCTAGTTCGCTTTCATGCATTAGGTCAAAGGCGTCCGTGACTTATATAATTGTTGACATTCTGACAGACCACTCGCAGTTTGGCTGGCGCGATTAAAGCACCCTGCACTAGCTCTAGTCTTGCCTTGCATTAGCGTGAAGGGATTTCTTACCGTTATCTCTTGGTTACGAGTGACGTAATAGTTGTGTTGGTTTACTAGATGGAGAACTCCAAAAAAAGAGGACCTGGGCCTGTGAGATGATCAAGGAACTTTTCTCGTTTATAGTTTCTGTGTTAAATCGAGTAGGGTTGTCTCAGGATGAAAATTTATTTTCGCGAGCCTCTACCCCATGACATCTTCTCCTGATAACGATCGATTCCCGCCCTATTCATTATTGCATTGTAAGCACCTGCCCGAGCATTCTAAGCCGAATGTGCGCTTGGGATGCATTTGCTAAACATTCGACGGGCAGGAGCGCGTGCAGACATTTCCTTGTCATAAATATGCAACAGCCCGACATCACATAACTCAGTTATCAATAAGTACCAGAAGCCTGGACTAACCAATCACATGAGACACCAGAATTTGGTGGCTATTTCAAACTGTCAACGCCCCTTAAATGTCACGCTGCGATGGTGCCAATTCCATTTTCACACTCAACAAAAGATCGCTCAAAAATGTAAAAAACGTGCAAGTTAATTGTGCTAAAGTATTTAAAAACAATATTCAATTGTTTGATAATATCAATTTTGGCAAATTCGAGCAGTCGATTTCGGCATCAATACACCACACACACGCACCCTCACGCTGGGCCCACGTTTCGCAGTACCACGAGGCAGCTGCGGCCCCGCGTCTCGTGTGCGTTCTCGACGGCTCAGCCTCATTCGACGTGAGCGTGCCGACGGGTGTGTGAAGGCGCCTGTCAAGTCCACATAAGACCACACGAGAGAAATGCGAAAGTCACATTGCATCAGCCACGTATTCACACAAACACGCACGTGCGAGAGTGAGTGATTTGATTGTAGCGCGCACTGCACCACCTTGGCTGTCAGTGCCTTCTGAAGACGAGTCTTTTTTTTCAAATTAAATTAAATGTTCCCCTCTGTGCTTACGTCCTAGCGTCACATGGAGCTTGCTGTCAAGTCGATTTACTCTGAGCAGCCGAATGGTTACATGGAATGCGCGCCCTTTGTTAGATTGCGGAGACTTGGCAAGTTCTCCGATGTGAGAATAGAGGTAAGCGCATGTGAGGTGGTAGAGTGCTAGCGTGAAATTAGACCAAAGACCGGCAGGTGGTGGCGGCACATCGAGTTGTGCTGGTGTCGCGATTTCCGCATTTGGAGCAGGCAGTGACGAACTGCGTGGGAGGCAGTTTGAAGTGGCGACGATATGACCGAGAGTAAGTTGCAGGATTGCACCGAATAGATTGTGCGTGTGTGTTGTAGCATAGTGGAGGCAGTGGTGGTGTTCGCGTACACCGGCAGCATCGAAATCTCCATGGACAACGCTGTGCGGCTTTTCCTGCTGGCGAGTAACCTGGGTTCTTTGACAATCACCTCCTGGTGCGCTGAATTCCTTCGACCCAGGTTCGTTGCTTGCTTTGATATCAAAAAAATTAATTCCTGAACATTTGTTGCACATAGTCCATCTTGATAAACTTGACGTGAAGGAGGCCAATAAAAGTAGGTGGACGCCGTCGAAGAAAGAGGAAAATGGGCGTCACATGAGAGGCAGGGTGCTGTAGGTAACATTTTATTGGTCTACCGCACCGGTAATTGATTAAAGCGCCTTCTTATTGATCGATTGTAGAGTTTCCAGAGAGAACGTCGAGCAAATTTGGTGGGTAGCGAATGCAACCAAGAGCACGCACATGATGGACATTTGTGTGCCAGTTATCGCTGCCCACTTCGACACCATCACCACACAGGTGACGTTTCATTCTACCACAGAACTAGACAGTCTGTTGTCTATGCTGCGCGATGATCGGTTAGTTGGTGTGGCGGGGGCCGCGAAGTTGAGAACGATTGTAAATTGGTTCGAAGGTAAAAGTACTTCAAACAGGGATAATGTGACGGCGTTCGTGGACGACGATGATTCTCGTGTTGCCACCTTCAAGGACCTCCTTGGAGCTGTTAATATTAGCGAGATCACCTCGGACGACTTCGTCGAGTTCTGCATGTCAGACTGCTGGATTAACCTCCAGAGACAATTCAGGTTTGGTTTTGCTGTAGACATTTCAAGCACTTGTCATCTGAGCTTGTCATTTGCGGTATTGTATTTTTTTCCTTCACCCTTACAGAGATCTAATCAGTAATGCCTGGAAGGAAGCGAGAAGGAGGTGAGTTTGTCTTCGCTGAAAGATTCGCTCTGGCAAATTGTGTTTGAATGAGATGGTGTTCGTTTGTTTCTTTCTTACTATAGAGGACTTGTTCAGGACTACCTAATCGCTTACACGTACTCTCATAGTAAAGTAACACTCACCACATCAAATTGGAAGGAAATTGAGAAAAAAATCATTGCTAGGAGTGCTGGCGGAGAACTTCCGACGGCGGACGTGAATTTTCGATGCACTGTGCCATCACGTTCCGACTGCGCAGTTGTCGTGTTGAATGGTGAGTTCGCACCCACCCACACTGTGGTGTAGATCCTGTTGAAGCGTCGCATTGGAGTTGGGTATGCTAATGTTTCGTTTCCTTCGCAGACAGCATTTACCTGATCGGTGGCAGGAATGAGAGAGCAGGAGCGTCGAGGCTGGTTGACCGCGTGGACCCCTTCGACGGTCGCGTCTCCAGTGCACCGCCGATGGTGCAAGCACGTTATTGGTTTTCGGCTGCTGCTACTCCTGCTTTCAACTGTCAACAGCTCCTCGTATTTGGAGGATATAATGGTACAACTCAAATGTCGTCTTGCGAGAAATTCGACCCTGCAGTAAACAGGCAAGTTTGGCCGTTTTATGCGAATAAGTTGTGGATGAAATCCGATGATTGCCAGTCTTCAATGCATTTAGAAATCAGGAAATGTCAACAATAGGTTATGACAGTTCGACACACGTAAATCGCAATTAGGTAAAAGAGTGTTGTGGGCCCCAGCATGTGGTCTTGAGCCATGCCGGGGCCACGGAATTTACCCTGGCCCGATTACGCTTCCCTGATACCCGCGGTGAAGAAAAAGATAGGAGAGGACGTTGACACAACCGTCTACTTCAGATGTCAACCAAAACGGGTGTCGTTGTGTCGGGTGTGGGATTTGCGCGCGTGTATTTATGCCTCGGATGTGTGAGTCATACATGCGCTAACATCGAGACCTAGGTGGGAGAGTAATTCAAGATAAATAGCAGTGCGAATGAGGGGGGATTTGAGGATCCGCGCGGCTGGCGACATGCTGCGAAGATGGGGACCCTGTGTCGGAGGATGGAGCTACCGGATAAAGGGGTGTGAATAAACATGATTTACAAAAAGAGTATTGACATTCAGGTCAAAAGTGCATCAAGCCCTATCACAGTTGATAAGGAGATTATGGCGTTGTTTTTGCCCACTTAAGGTGGACTCCATTGCCAGATATGCTCACTCCGCGTTCCTGCTGTGGTGCGGTGAGCGTCCCTGTCGTCGGCGTCGTCGTGGTTGGCGGATACAAATTTGGCAGTGGCAATTTGTGCGCAACAGAACTGCTTTCATGCAGCAGGGAAGACAACGTGGTCAGGAGCTGGTCGTGGCGCCAACTTGCTCCAATGATGAAACCTCGCATTTACCCTGGTGTTGCCTACTTCCGCGACCGCGTCGTTGTTGCCGGCGGTGACTATGGCGACATCAATGTTTTTGAATGCTTTCGTCTTCCTGCTGGTGACAACGATCACGGTCAGTGGACTCAACTCCACGCACTTGAAAAAGGCACATCGCTTGCAAGGTCGCCAGTTGTTTTGAATAAAAGGCTCCTCTTAGCAGGTAAGATCCCTTCACGTGATCGTCACACTAACGAAATCCGATATCTGTAGAGGTACTCGCGAACACACATGATTGGCTGGTTTCACGTGTAGCCTAACCGCACGTCCCTAATGCACTGCAAATTCAACCGATTTCGTCGTTTTGTTTAGATCGTGACGGGAAGGTGCATGAATTTGTTCCAGCATCAGATTCAAAGGTAAGCACGGCAAATTTAACAATTCATATTCAAACATGCACGAAATATCCTCGTGCTCATTTTTTTTTTACTTTAGGCGTTGACACTCGAGGAATTTACATGGAAACCGATTTTTACCATTCAAAACCTTTTGGAGGCTCAATTATTAGTGCTGCGGAGATAACCTTAGTTGGTTTGCCAGACTTCGTGCAATTTAAGTTGATAACAACGATCGTTTGACCGTCATTGGCATCGTGCTGTAGTGTCTATTGCATCAAATTCAGTCAAATAAAGTTCCTCATAAATTATACACACTTTTCGCAAAAATTATGTACGATGAAGTGAGGCTGAATTGGAAAAAAATTGCTTTTTATTAAACGACGAGAAGGACAGGTTGGAAGAATGTTATGGAGTAAACGTAAAACAACCAGAGAAGGACACAACTGAGGTGCTGTATATAACGAGCGGCGTGGCCAATGTGGTGGACTCGGATGGAAGGCGCCTGACGTGTAGCTCTGGCTTGTGATTGGTCAATAAAGCCTGTTCTGTTGTATCGGTCTTTTACCTACTAGGGCTCGGGTACTCTACAGTGGCGTCGGATCAGGGCGCAGACATATTGGATACGGGCCTCAGCCAATCCCGTGTCTCTATGCGTTCCAATGGCATGCGAGGAAGATAAGCTGCCAACCAGAGAAGGATACGAATGAGGTGCAGTATATAATGAGCAGCGTGGCCAGTGTGGTGGACTCGGATGGAAGGCGCCTGACTTGTGGCTCTGGCTTGTGATTGGTCAATAAAGCCTGTTCTGTTGTACCAGTCTTGTTCATACTTGGCCTCGAGTATTCAACAGATGTCAGGTGCGGCCTTTTCACAACTGAGCACTCGTCGTAGTACCCAACCAAAATCAAAGTCACTTTGAAAGTTTGCGTTTTTGATTAACACAGATTAATTTCAGCGTATTTTGCTTGTACTTGTATGTTGCGTAAATTGAAACACACCACAATTCTGCTTCTGTATAGGAATAGTAAAAACCAATTCAATTTTGATTCAAGCACCAAAAATTTGTCAGATTAGAATGCGAATATTGAGGCATTGTATTTGCCAATTTAGGCTCGCACTTAGTCTCTCATGGAAGGCCACAACCGGTTATGACTAAATACCCCTCAAACCAGCTCATCGACAGAAATGCAAACATGTCGTCTGGGTCGAAGGGGAATTTTACGGTGGAAAGCAGCGTCGCACGGCAACGCCACCTGTGAACTTCATGGTTGGCAATAGAATTCCGCTTTCAAGTGTTTTTATCAGCTACTCAAAAAACAAAGTAACTTGTTTATTAGAAATCCGTCCTTTAATGTCAAACATGTCATTACTGTTGTGGAATATGACTTGGTCTTCCAACTTGTACACGGCAATTGCGTCAAGCGTGTTCAGTGTGGTCAGAAAAGACTAGAGGGTAGTAATACTACAGCCTTTCCTACACGCCCTTAACGTGTCCATAGATATATTACTGAAGTCTGCAAACAAAATTTAAACAACGAGTTGACAATGTGTGTTTAGCCTTATGGCAGTCAATACGCATTTCATCGCATTTATTTACAATATGAAGGTGGCTGCTTTTTCGCCGCATATCTGCTCGACTTGGCGATCGATAATTGGATTATCGATTGTCTAACTTTGTACTTCAGTAGTCACTAGCTGTCTATCCGGCCGGCACTTTGACATTCGATTCTGTGGTCTGGAGATGACGAATTAGCCAAGTGACTTACGCTCGGGAGTTAGAAATTGTGTGGCTACGTGTCTTGGGGTTCGTTCGTGAGTCAAATCACATTTTTAGCGGTTTCCCCAACACAACTCCTCACTGCGTGGCATTGTAACCTGAGGTTAGTCGTCGGAAATTTGACATGTCAGCCTAAGAAATTGCAATCTCTCCTAACTCCTATCGAACAGGGCGTGAATTTGAACCTGCTCTAGATTAAAATGTTGGTATATCAAATTTGATTTAGCTGGCGGCTCTTTTTGTATAACTAACTTTCGATTTGAGCAGAATATTTCTGCTTGACACGCTGTGTCTTAAGTGTGAGTATTTTTTTAGGTACACTAGGATCGTTGTGTGTATTTCTAACAATACAAATGTTTTTAAGGTACCGAAACCTGGCTAAAAGGGAAAATGAAGGAACAACATTAGCCGAATCTAGCAATGGACAAGCGAAAGTTAACTCTAAATACCATGCATGCTTAGCGTTATTTAAAATTCATCCCTTTTAGCTTGACAAAAGAGTTGAATCTGTCGTAAATATTAAGTAACGTTATGCCTTACAGTTGTAATCAGTTGATCCCATAAAAAAGAGGATAGTTTAAATAATTGCGTCACGTAGACGGCAAAATCACGTATCACGCTGTTCTTAAAATTATTTTGTAAACAAATACCTACGTAAATCATTTAAGTAGAAAGTTAATTATACGCAGCAGTAGGAGATAATTAGCCAATTTGTAATAACTCTTTTTACCGCAAATCCATTTCCACGAAATGAATATACAATTACATATTTGCGGTCTCATGCAACCATCATTTCTGCTTAAAATTATTTTTTTGGAAATAAAACGATACTAACCACCGGCGTTAAAATAAGGCATCTACGTTGCTGAACCAAATCACACCACTGGTTTCGTGCCGAAAGGGGATAATCGCTCCCCCGTGCCTAAATTCAACCCATGCCAAGTCTATTTTCCCAGCTTCCTTTAACGTGTGGGTTTTTACCATGTGTTAACTGACACCCGAAAATCCCAATGTTCGTTGTGTGATCAGAAAATGTAGGAAGAGTTTAAAAAAAAACTATTTGTGCCTAGCAGAGCGATTTGTCTTGAATTGTGGACAAAATCACTCACTCACTAAGGCCTAAGTAGCAGAAATGTGCTCACGTCTGACAGTCGTCGTGGTAGTTTCAAACTATTATAATCAACTGACAGTCAATACTACTGATGACAATGAGCGTCAGTAGTTGACGAAGTCGCTTTCGACCGTGTGGTCGAGATTTGTCACTCCGTACTACCTCGATGCGAGTAGACACTCCGTAGATTCAACTAATCGAATACCTGGAACTGCGTCGATGGCATCACCACATCCTTAGATTTGTTGTTGCTGTTGTTGTTGTTGTTGGTGGTAGTAGTAGTAGTAGTAGCAGTAGTAGTAGTAGTAGTAGTAGTAGTAGTAGTAGTAGTAGTAGTAGTAGTAGTAGTAGTAGTAGTAGTAGTAGTAGTAGTAACTGAAATCAAGTAGCCGAATTCACCAACATTTGAGTTACCTCGGCAACATTTCTTATCCAAGCCTAGTACTCGTGCGTCGTTGATAC